TACGTCAGTGGTCCACTCTATAGGTACGTCAGTGGTCCACTCTATAGGTACGTCAGTGGTCCACTCTATAGGTACGTCAGTGGTCCACTCTATAGTACAGAGACAAACAGAAAAGTCAACTCACAATGTATCTGCTCCTTTTTCTCCTTCTTCTTCTGTTCGTACTTTTCCTGTTTTCTTCTCTCTTTCTCTATTTGACTGAAAAACAAACAAACAAAACCATTCAGTGTTATGATCAGACAGAAACTGTTGAAGTAACAACACACATATATATATGGTCGCTTTTAAGCACAAGGGGGCTATCCCGAAAAATGCTGTTTTCAGAAAATCAAAGGTAAAGTTTTTGGACCCTTGTTCAGTTTCTTTAAAAGACAAGGAGAGTTTTCTCTATAACCAAACAAATATACACACCAATGAAACCAAACTTCTCCTATAGGTCGCGCAATGCCCAATTTTGGTGTAGGTCAAGATTTCTGGAAACCCCCTAAAATCTGGGTCAGCTTGCTTGTCCTTGAAAGCGACCATATATAGATACGGGAAACCACTGACACTTTATTTTGAAATTCTAAAACTACTACTGATACAAAATAAAAACAATTATATAATCACATTTTTGCATAGAGCGAATGACCAACACTCTACTCCAAGCTCTATGCACATAAACAATCTCTAGCATTCCCCCAGCAGACCATACAACACTCACAAACATTCCCCCAGCAGACCATAGAACACTCACAAACATTCTCTAGCATTACCCCAGCAGACCATGCACTTAACAATCTCTAGCATTCCCCCAGCAGACCATACAACACTCACAAACATTCCCACAGCAGACCATACAACACTCACAAACATTCCAACAGCAGACCATACAACACTCACAAACATTCCCCCAGCAGACCACACAACACTCACAAACATTCCCTCAGCAGACCATACAACACTCACAAACATTCCCCCAGCAGACCATAGAACACTCACAAACATTCTCTGCTTCCCAGGAAGCATACAGTGCAGGCTGCCTATTAAGCGCTCAAACACTAACAAACCGACAAGACCTTTGGCTGTCTAAAGCCGGGTACCGATTCCCACCGGGGTGAAGTGAGGACACTCTGTGCAGAATACTTTTCTCAAGGACACAACCTTGGGGGCCCCTGATGGGGTTTGAACCCACGACCTTTCGGTTGAGAGCCCAGCAGCCTAACCACTAGACCATCCACGACGCACACTCTCGTCAACAAACACACACACACACACACAGACAGACAGACACACACACGCACATACAGACAGACAGATACACACACACATACAGACAGACAGATACACACACACAAAGACAGACAGATAGATACACACGCGCACAGACACACACACATACACAGACACACACAGAGACAGACATACACACACACACACACACACACACAGAGCACTGACTCACATTTTCTTCTCCTTCTCCTGTCTGCGGACCTCCTCCGCTCTCTCCTTCTCCTCCCTCGGCGCTCCTCTCTCCTCCTTCCCTCTCTCGTCCTCCGAAGCCGATGACTTCCCGCTAGATTTACGGTTCTTCTGATCCTGCATGGGAGAGACACACACACAAAGGTCATGTGACAGACTCATAGACACACACACACAAAGGTCATGTGACAGACTCATAGACACACACACACAAAGGTCATGTGACAGACTCATACACACACACACACACAAAGGTCATGTGACAGACTGATAGACACACACCAAGGTCATGTGACAGACTCATAGACACACACAAAG